TACATGGGCGCCGTGGCGTACTATCTAGGTTACTAAATAGCAATAATACAGCGTTCTTTCTACAACTAGATCTACAAACAAATGTATTATTACATAGATAGAGATAGAGGCTTTAAAAAAGAACCAAAAAACCCCCTTTATTTCTTCATCAGCACTTTATCTACGAAGTGGTTTATTTCTTATTGACTGAATCAAAGCGTTTTGGGCCTATAGAACTTTTAAAAAGAAGTATGAAAAGATGTGGGTGTCATGGGAACCTCCCAATCACCCCACCCTCTCTCTCCTCCCCAATCACAATACCCCCCCCCAAGTTTGGCTTTAAATTAAATCAAGATGAGCCGTAGAAAAAAATTCCAGAGTTTTTTCTGCCATTAGGTGTAGGAAGGCAAAACCTCTTCATAAAGCAAATTCAGCCAAACAAATTATGATGAATGCATGTAGATCTACAAGTATTTAAAAAATCGAGTTAAACTTTCCCTTGTGACATTTGAACAGGAAACTGTATTTTTCATTCTTACGTTCAGTTATTTTATTTTAAAGTATACCAAATAAATATAGTGCTTTCTTCTGTATGTATTAAACTTTGGTTTATATAGATTTTAAGAACTAAAGTAAACGATTTACAGCACGTAAACTAAACTAAAGCTTCTATTGCTGTTTTAAGTAAATCTAATTTTAGACATTCGTAACACAAGTGTGACAACTCTGGACTTACTAAAGATAAAAAAGTGAACTTAATGTTGTGTGATAACTGAAACAAAAAACCTTTACTAATTGGGTTTTTGGACAACATTCAATAAAACAAAAACATTAAACAGTACACTGTTTGATAAAGAAATTACCTGCCCATTGTGAAAAAGATCTAGGTGCTAGTCAACCTTAACTTCACATGGCCCAGAACCTTGCTGATAGCTCTTTATATAAAAAAACAACCGGATTGACTATTTGTGTCTATAAGACATATTATGAACTAAAAATAGATGTTGTTATTTTTTAAAAACCCAGACATCACTGATCTGCCTGACAGAAGCAGTGATGAGTTGTTTAAATTCATTCGAGCAAACACATATATATAAGACGCTGTGCATATACATTGTATAGCAAGCTCAGAACCAAGCGCACTCTGACTATGGTTGCCTTTGTCGCTAATAAGCTAAGAATATTTTATACTTTACATCATGCATTTTAGACACGAGCCTATCTTTGGCTGCTTCCATCTATAAAAATAATTATGATTGATGATACTGTTATTATTACTATGTTTAATATATTTTAAGTCAGTGAGTCATTGTCAAATGAGTGAAATTAGTATCTCAGATTAGTAGATCTAGCTTGTTTAAGTAAGTAATTTAAACACAAAGACGAGGCAGAATTGCAGTGGTTAGATATGATATCAGTTAACTGAAAGGTAGGCTTTGATCAGACCAGGCTCTTAATCTTTTCGAATATTTTCTTCCAAACATAGATCTGGATCTAATCTGTCAAAATTCTTATCAATCTTATTCTTACCAGTGAAATGAAAGAGGGGTTCCTTTCGAGGCTCTGTCAGTACACTGATAAGTTAAACGCAGCAGTGTTGCACCATCCTTTCTGGTCTTGTTTTATTGTTTTAAAAAAAAGTCTCTTAGGCTGTAGATCTCCTCCTCCTCCTCCTCCTCCTCCTCCTCCTCCTCCTACTACTACTACTACTACTACTACTACTACTACTACTACTACTACTACTACTACAACTACTGATAATAATAATAATAGATTTTCTACATGTAATAATAATAATAATAATGAATAATAATAATAAGAATAATAATGCAGATCATTTCTATAGCGCCCACAAACACAGCTCTAGGTGCTTTAGAATCCACATAAATGCATGTATGAACAATATTCACACATGTACACACACACAGGCACACACACACACACATACACACATATAAACACACACACACACTCACACATACACAAGCACGCGTGCGCGCGCGCACACACACACACACACACACACACACACATCACAGGCTTACACGTCGTACAAACATGATCTCGATCTAGATATCTAGATCTAGATATATGTAGATCTCAACGTCTTTGGGGATATGGCTTTTCTTTGGGTTACATATAAACGAGTTTCAGTATTATTTTCATTAAGCTGGAGCTTATTATCAATCATCCAGTTCTTGACATCATCAAAGCACATACCCATGGTGGCAGGCAAGGTTTTAACATCTGGTGGTGGAACAGATTTATACAACTGTGTATCATCTGCGTACATGTGATAATTCATACTCAACTGTGCTTTCTAATTACAGCTCCAAGCGGCTGTGTATATATAACGTATACACGATTGGAGCCAATAAGACGTTAATCCAGAAAGGGACTAGATCTAGAGGTTTCA